GCACTCTTCCGAAGACTGTTAACTTTCCTAGCTTTACGACTGCGTTGCTCTGTAACAGCAACTTCCTTTGAAAATATAGCCGTTCACTCGCTGGTGCTGCTAGAATGCAATTCGATTCCGGTCCAGTGGCCAGGAACGCATGGGAGGATTTAGGGTGTATCCATAGCGCACTCATGAGGTGATTTATAGGGACGACGCACGTTGACAACGACAACTGTTTCACCCTGACTGCTGATCATATGATCAGCCAAACAATCGAAGTGGCCCTTTCTGGTATTCCAACCACTCGACCTATGGAATCACATAGAAGGTGGGGAAGAGGGGTTCGAGGCTATTTGGGGAAATTAGTGTGACGGACGGCACTTCCCTGCAAATTACCGCAGAGAGAATCACCCAATAGGATGTTAATTACTCCCAAAACCTACTGCCTTTCAGCACGTATTTGAACTATACTGTCAACGCACTGAAGTGCTAAAAACAGCATCAAACCAGTGGTGCAAAGGAGCGTCTCTTCTGGTCAGAAACAGGGTCCCAAAGGCCAGGATTCCTCTGAAGTTGAGGCGTATACGGGGATGAGCTTAATACTAGCGTGGGACTTCGATCTGGGCTCATTTTTATGAAAAGCAGCGCGAACATTTTGACGGAAAGGTCCACCTAACGGACTTTGACAGTTAAGGACACATGACCAGTCTACCAGGCCGAGAAACTACCTTATAAATCAGATCAACCGCCCTCACGCATTATTAAATAGAACCCCTTTTCTTGTGGACCAATTCTACTGATTAGTAGTTTTCTGGAGGGCATTTTATTTGCCATTTGTCAGCGGAGTTTTGGTAATTTGGTCTTCTTCGCTTTCGAGTAAAACTTAACAACTGATGGAGATCCGATTATAATCGACAAGACAACGAGCTCGTGGCGCAGTGGATAAGGGCGTTGTACTTCTAACCAACAGGTCGCGAATTCGAGCCTCGGATGGTTTATCACCTGGGATCGGATATGGCTAGCTGATGACGGCGAATAAGCCAGAAATAGCCATTCCAGTCCCCAGTCTCTGCTGACAGAATGCGATCGAGCAAGATCCCAAGCACACCAGTAAGGCGTCCTACCTACAAACTGGACATGCAAGTTTGGTTCAGGAGCGATCAGGAATCACCACGACATAGCTTTCTATATATATGCGTGATAATTCGATGTCCAGATCGCGTATCGTGTTCATCATTCCCCAACGAAGACGAAGAAGAAGCGACGAGTTTGTGGACGGGCATATTTTTGGACTTGCGCTTCAGAAACTTCGTTTCCATTATCATAGCATTTTGTTGATTCTTTCGGCTGGTCGTGAGTGCTTCTGTCCTGACACCTGCTTGATGTTTTATTCTCATCACTACAAGCGAAAATGCGAATTCCAGGAAGTAGACACGATCACTGGGAAAATAAATGAATGGCCAAGAATACGTGAGGCCCAGGTAATTGAATAGAAGACGGTAAAGCGTTCTCTGGGACCAGTTGTTTATTTGTCCGACGTTTCGAACTCTCATGTGAGCCCATTGTCAAGCAATGAAAAGCTGTACAACTCACTGCATATTTAACTCAGCCCTGCAGGGAGTTACCTTGTCCTCTGCCGTCGATCTGTTCGCACAACGCGAGATAGGCATCAGGAAGATCGATATGCCTATTAATATTGAATTGAATTCCTTGACAATGGGCTCACGTGAGCGTTCGAAACGTCGGACAAATAAACCACTGGGACAAGAACTTTATTCGCCTGACTTTTCGGATTCCAG